AAGAAAATATTTTATTTTTATTTGTAAACGCAGCCGTCTTTAACAAACTACATACATAATACCCCGACTAAATATTTTTTTAAGTTTATATCCCCTAAAAATTTAAGCTTTTCCAAACATATTCTTTAGCTACACGAATACACAAATTCTGCTGCCCTATAAATTAATTACAGCTAGCATCAACTTTGAGACTGTAAAATAAAAAATTCGTTCAGCTTACATCGTGATTTGTTGCTAGCAGCCACAAATAAACAAGCATTAAATTTGTGCCGATTTCACAAGTTGCCCCAAATGAGTAAAGCCAGATTACATGGCGCGGGTGTGTGTAACTTCTCCCTTTTAATAAGTTCAGCGACATTTACTCATTTGTTGTCATGCTTTGTATTGAAAATATTTGAGACTATAAAAAAAACAAAACATTGATGCTAAATAAAACATGAAATGAAATATGTAGAAATGTATGTATGTATGTATGCAAACATGCAACAAATTTTAATCGCTATAACTGCTAGAGGTGGCAATATTTACAATGAATGTTGTTATAACCAAGCTGTCTGTTTCTATTACACATGTTGTTTTTTTTTGTTGAGTACCCGATACAAACACAACAACAACCAACCTATTTCGTATGCAAAACTACTCGGTAAGGATTTATCATTGCAAATTACAAGTGTGCGTATTTTTTGTATACTACTCGTACCTAATATTTTATGACTCAACATGAAATTCAATAAACTTTGCTACCCTAATTACTCTCCTTACTATACATATGTATCGCTCATGTCGCTGTTAATGCATTCCGCCTATTTTCCTTCCGCCGCGGTTATAATCAACGTTAAAGTACTCATTCAGACACGCGCATGTTTCATCTACACCGCATATTTGGAAGTTTTTGTATTTGAGGCAAAAAAAAAAATCACCCTATATTTACATACTTACATATTTAACTTTTTCATATGCATGTATGCATGTACAAGGCTTTACATATTCATTCCGACTCATATCTTTTATGGATTTTAATTCGGTAAGGCGCATGCTCCACCTTGCTTATGCCGAAATAGTGAGAGTTCCTGGTCTATAAGGCTATGGTGAATTTTTGTAAGGGTTGATGGGATTCGCTTTACACCCAGATTATATGTATATGTATGTGAATACTACATGTTGTATATAAATCAAAATGAAAAGAAGTGCATCGATGGCATGTTACGCATCTTTTTTATCTAAAAGTTTCTAAGCATGTTTTCAGGTTTGCACTCACTTCAAAGGCGTATTTTCCATTTATGTGTTCAATTAAATATGCAGCACCAAACCTACACTTCAGTTGCAAGAAAACTACTTTTTCGTTTCTCTTAGCTAGTTTCCTTTTATATGTTTTTCTTGATTAAAGCGACTATAGGCAGTGCGTGACTTGGTTGTAAATGTTACTAGTTTCACGTTCGATACTCTTCGTCTTGTAAATGCCTCGTTCTTTTTAGATACTAGCGCGACGATATCGAAATTAAATTAAATCTTTTTCTTGGAAGCGATTTAGTGAGAAAGAAAAGTTAAAGGCGGAAGTCGATTTTGGAAAAATGCTTTGAAGAGTTATTAGAGTTAACAAACAGTTGCCAATTTACACTCAAATTCATAAAAATTAAAGAAGTTTTTAGCTGCTTTAGAAATCGTAAAATATATATTATTTTTTATGACTAAGGCCATTAGTCTCAATTGCAACAACTTCTGGATAATAATATGTCATGTAGCATTGGGAGCTCTATCGGAAATTTTTGACTATCGGATAACTCGGATATTGGAATATCTGGATAAAAAATCCGAATATTCGGATATTGGAATCTAAAAATTTTAAATATTTACTTAGCAACTACGACTTTTTAATTGTTTTAATAGCCGTGTGATACGGATAATCGAATGTTAGAATATCTGATAAAAAAATCGCAATACCCGATTAATATCCGGACAACAAGATTAACGGATATTAACCGGATATCCGGATAGACAAATTACACATATTAATCGCATATCCGGATAACAAAATTAACTTGTTAAAAAAACGAAAAAGTAGTCTCCAAAAAAACTGGCACTTCATTAGAGTTGAATTGTATGGGCTATAAAACTGCATACCCAAAAATGTTCTAAAGATTCAGATTAGAAAGATGAAATTTTGATGAAAATTTGTTGAATTTTCCTTAATTTTGTATACAGTTTTAAACTGTGATTTATATTGTTTTGGTTAAAGCTTGGACGGCTATTTTTATAGAAAAATAACAAAAAAATTTAGCTCGAAAAACATTACGCATATTTAAAAAAAAATTAACACGTGGTCATTTGTTTTAGTCACTGTATGTATATTAATCGGATATCCGGATTTTATACGCATACACGAATATCCGAACGGATATCCGATTACATAGATAGTCCCAACAAATACTGTTTAGAATATGCGGATATCCGGGTTTGGTCCGTTCACATTAATATTCGAGCGGATATCTGGATATACATGTACGTATAGTGTCAGCCCTAGGTATAATAATAATAATATGTTAGTGTTTGCCGGAACTTCTCCTCCGATTTGTGGAGTGCGCCTTGATGTTGTCACACAGAGGGAAGTGACCTATTCCGAACGGCGATTGTATTTTTATGAAAAGCTATTTTTGATGGCAGAAATACGCTCGGAGGCTTGTTAAGAAAAAACCTTTTTTCTAAATTTTTTTGCGATATTGCTTTGACCAATACATAAAGTACATACATACTTATTTTGTTTCAATCTCTAAATGCATCGTATCCGCAGAACTAATCTCGCTTGCTTGAGATGGGTTACTTCCTAATAGGGCTTTCGCACGAGGCGATTTTTCAGGCAACTTTTAGTTGAAAGCAAAAATCGCCTCGTCCGAACCGCCTTTCAACTAATCGCTTTCCACAAAGTTGGTCGCCAGCCAACTTTGAGCTCGTTCAACTTTTTTTCCTTGCAACCCTGTGTTTGTTTACATTCTGTATACATCATTTTTTTCTTTTTTACTTTTTTACTTTTATTTTATCTTTAAGTTTCGCTAAAAGCACTGCTACCAACGCTTGGCTTACCAAATATGATAAAATTTTGCGATTTAAATTCATTTTCAATAATGTAAATAACAATTCGTGTTGAATCGAAAATCGCCCCGTCGTCTGAATAGGGATGGCAACTTTTTCACTTTCAACTTCTCATTCAACTTTTGTTGCCTGTAAAATCGCCTCGTGCGAATGCCCTATAAGACGCGTAACAATTTTTGCTGATTCATTGTCACATTCACCAAAAATCTTTCTGCGCCTTTGTTGCCAGACGTCGGTTTACTGCCAAGCTGCTACCTGTTTATCTTTTCATTAATAAAATAAGCAACGTGAAGGAGCAGGTACTAGTTGCCATTACATTTTACTGCCTTTGTGTGATAGGCTGTAGGATCATAACTGACTTCCACTAAAATGAACAATAGCTAATGACCACTTCATGGTAGTTTTGTAGTAATGTTTACGGCAATGTTGTCGTAATCTAATTGTGTTATGAATCACGGTGGTAGTATTATCACGCGAATGTTTGAATGTATCAGCAAACCATAAAATTACTTAATTAAAGGTAGGAGATACAACTTTCTTCACGCTAAACAAGTATGGAAGGCAAGTGAGGGAAAAAAGTCAATCTCTATTTGTTTACTTTACTTTTTGAGACTCCCATGAAAAAGAGACGGAGAATGAGAGAATGCATTTTTTTTGTGTGCGGAAGATCATTTGCATTCAAAGTGAGAGAACATGTCGAGTTTTTGATCGTTGCTTAACTGGCTTTGTTCACACTCTTTATCACACTACTGCAGCAGACAATTCCAGCGCAGCGGGTGGATGAAGTCGCCGCTGCTACATTTAGCTTATCGTGCCGCCATAAAAGATCTAGAATTAAAGTTACACTGTTTTCATTTCAGTTGTTTGCGTTTCGGACAGGGTAGGAATATGTTGTATTTTGGAACGATTTTCCGTCATCCCTTGTAAAATATGGTTTATATACACTTTTGTCATAAGACTCGAAGTCTGTTTAATGTCTTGAATTTCGGGTTGTTTGCAAACTATCAAATTTCGATAAGCTTTTTTTTTAATTCTGTGAGAACTTCCAAACGAATGAAATTCACCACAATCATGTTCTCATTCAGCAGAGCACTCCATAATAAGTAAAACAAAGGAAAATAAAGCTTAGCTTTTCTTCTGAAGTTGGGCGTAAAGCAGCCCAGCTTAATGTTTTTACTTCCAGAGAGAGAGAAGAGTGTCAAAGATTGTGTACCTCATGCACGTTACGTCTGATTACTTTAATTTTATTTACTTTACTTTTTTACTTTTATTTGCTTATATTTGTAATGAGCAATTACGTACTTCGAGTTGTAATCTCCTTTTTCCAATGGGCATAAACTGCAGTTAAGGTTGAACTATAAAAGTGATAGAAAAATTTGATTTTAATCCTAAACTTTGAACGCAGAATATCGAAAAATACGAGAAACAAATCTAAGGGCCGTTCAATGTCTGGTTATCACTAGTTGCCGGTTGAAAATCATTATCGAAAATTTCGATATCATGCATAACTATAACATGTGATCGATAAAGCAGTCGTTGTATTTAACCGGAGCTTCTACCTCCGATTTGTGCTAACAGACTAGTTCGCATTGTCTTTGTGTCTCCCGTGCATACTATTGGCTAAGTACTACCAGTATAATTTCATACATACATATGATTGTCTGTAGGTAAATGGCCCAACTTCACCATAGCCACAAAAAACCTCCCTGCTGCAGTTACAGGCACTGAGCATAAGCACATTCACAACAGAGAGTGAGAGATTTTTCTTGTTGCTGCTTCTATGGCTCCACATATGTACATACATACATAATTATGTTGGTCAGCTCCAGTGGGCCACCAACATATGTATGTATTTCTATACGAGTACTCTGAGGTGATATAGCAAAATAGTATTGCCTCGTTAGAGGTAAAGAGCCAACAATATCTACAATAAATAGAAAAAATAAAACAAAAATACAAGAATGGTGTTGAAACATGGGCACTAGGCGGCGGCGATACGAGTTCACTCGCACTGTGGCTGGCGCGGAGTTTGTGTGTCATGTGAGCTGAGCATAGATTTCGTCACGAGTCATATCAGTAGCACGATACGGCCGCGCTCACTTGGTTGGGTATCGGTGGTGGTGGCCAGCAACTTTGCTCTTAATCGCGTTCCATTTCTGTATCTACGCGGTAGCACATTTTCGATTTCTCAATGAAACGGTTGGCGACAACAATTTAGTGCAGCTACGCGATTTGTGAATGTGTCTCCGAAAATGTAATTATCTAAAGAAAGTTAAAAGTTACAAAAAAAATTGTGTTTGTGCAATAGTTTTTCCAATATTTCCGTGCTTTTTTCATGTAGCGCCACACTGCTACGCCCTCCTCATCCATATTGTGTGAGTGTGTGTGTGTGTGCCCTTTGTTTGTAAGAAATTCACCATAGTACAAAGCATAGCAAAGTGTCGTCTTGTGGGCTTAATTTATACACATATAAGTACATACATACATACGCACGAATTCTTGCGTGTAACTGCAATTTTATGCGATTTTCTCCAGCATTCCATTTTATATTTGTGCAAATCGGTCGGTGTATCACTGCAAGTAAAAATAGTACCAACGCCATATACTGAAAAAAAAAAATACTACGCTTGACTTTGTTGCTAGTATAGGCGAACACCCTTTTCGTGCTGAGACCTTTTCGTGTCAAGTTCGGTTGTAAGATTTTCAGCAATATTTTCTGCATCTGTTAGATGAAAACAGTTGCAGCAACACTGCGGCTAAGTTAGTTGTAAAACTTATTATTAAAATGAAAATAAAAATATGCTTTTTCATTTTTAACTACTCGCAGCGAGTATAAGCTATCATAAAAGTGATTAAAAGTTGTAATTTTACCTGTGCAAATGAAATTGATATCTCACACAATTTTTTTACTTGTGAAAAAAGTTGAAAGTGCGAAAATACACTCAGTCACAGCAACTGCCTCAATTCAAGGCTAATACGGATACACAAATGTGCATTGCAGTGTATTTGCTTCAACGTTTGCGGAATGCAAATATGGAAAAAATCAACAATTCTTTTCCTACATTCTAATCGTCTAAAATAAAGGTAACTTTTATATTTTCTTCATATCACGTAGTACGAGTATAACATTAATGTTTAGTGTAGAAGCATCAAAAACATGCGAAAGTTCGTCGTGGTAGCGATTTCCTACATTGTCTTGGAAAAATCGATTTTTACCGCGGTTGGTCTCACCACTGCTTTCCTTATTTCTTCCTTTAACGTTTTTCGTAGCCACTGTTACATGTGTATGTATGTACATTAGGGTGGCGCAAAACAAGTAAAGTCGGAATTTTAATGCTCTCACCCCCTAGGATTGTTCTATACCGAAAAAATAAACCTATATTTTTTTATTTTGAAATCTAAAAATATTTAGAGATCGCTCAAAGCGCGCAAAATTTTCCGTGAAAAAATTTTTGGACTACCCACATGTACACATCGCACATATGTATGTCAATATGGATGACTTTGTCACCAGCTATGTATTGCAGAATGACGATACGCGGTTTTGTACTTTAAACGACGATATATAGGTTTGACATATTTTTTTTCATATGTATGTATGTATGTTCGAGATATCATGTATTTTTAATTGATCCTGCAGTCAGGAAATTTTTAAAATCAAACTAAGTATATTACATACTTCGTTTTCTATATAGGTATTTACATACTTATGTATGTATGTATATCGCTAATAACAGACTCTATTATTAAGTTTTTGAATTGAATTTATATTTATACATACTTACATAAATTAGTATTTATGCACTTTTCCCGTTTTCTTTCAGACGAAATGGTTTTTAGTTTATCATTGTATATAAACATCTTACATATCTTTAAAAAAACAATATTAGCTTTATTCGCTTGCTGTCCGGACTGAGCCCGGCTGTTAGAGAGTAAGCGAAACATTTTCTCTCAAAAGGGTAGTACGGACAAACAAAAAAACATATTTCATTCCTGTAATTCGACAGCTGATTCATGTCGATTGTGATTGTTGTACCATAAATGTTTGTACAAAAAATTAACTAAATGCGCTTTTTTGAAAATATTAATATCTACTACATGTACCATTTTTTCGAATTGTCAACACTGACGTTGCTAGGTACAATCTAAGATCACCATCAAAAAATTTGACACTTTAAAAGATCTTTTCACTCAAAACGTTTTCGACGGGCTAATACAGATTTGGTACTGAAGCACTTCACAAAGGCATTATTTGTCGTTGGTTTAATGAATTCAATCGTGGTCGTAGTTCGTTTACCGACAAACCTCGAAAGGGCCGTTCAAAGTACGTCAGCTGCTGTGCCAGAAAAAGTCGACAAGTAACATATCGATAAACTTAGGCAATTCGATATTGCTTGAACATTTGGCCGTAAAAGGGATGGTATGAATTGTTGTTGTTGGTGTTGAGTCAAACACCATGAAAAACCTCTAAACAGGTGACGAGTCATGGATCCATACATATAAGCCAGAAACTAACCAGCTGTCGACTGTGTGGGTCTTACAAAATAAACAAATGGTCGCTTTTGCCTTTTTTGTGTGAAAACAACCATTTTTTTGCAGGTGTCTTGGGCCAAATAAGGAAAAACTACTCTTCTAGAAAATTAATTAAAATAAACTGTTTTTTTTTAAACTTTTTGTTGGATTTTTTTTTGCCTTTTTTGGCCCAATAACAAATCATATTCAACAATTTTATTGAGCTTGATGCCGTTTTTAATCAAAATTTTTTATAACATTCATTAACAATTTGAATAATAAAGCTCTTAATTTTTTAATAGAAATAAGTTAATAGTAAAAACAGATACTTTTAAAGCTATATTTCTAAATATGGACGAAATCGGACCATTAATACACTTTTACCAAATGTATCGACTCCTGCGCCACCTATCGGATTAATTCATATTTCTGAGCTAACTATAAAGTTTCAAGTCTCCAGGTCCACGGGAAGTTGGTCAAAAATTGATTGCAAGATTTGCCCCTAACAAACATACAGAGCAAGTTAAATAAAAGCTTGTAAAATAAATACTGCTGACGTAACCCCTACTAGCCAGTTTCACTAAATCTATTTAAGTGGAAAACGATTTTTTTTATATAAATTTAATATGGAAACTGACAGAAAAAAAAATAAGTTTTCACTTAAATTGCTATCGTGAAACTGGCAGTCAGTAAGTAATCTTTTTTCTTTTTAAAAATGGTATTGAAAAAACCTTTTTAAGTATTGACCGTCTTTTGACTATCAAACCCGTGTAAAAAGAAGTAATTCACCGCCCGTGATAAATGATGCGTCGTCAACGATTTGCGACCTTCATCATGGGGAATATTTTAAACAGTAAATCAACATATCTTCCTTACTAGTCGCAACATTTTCCGATTTATTAATTTTAACCTGAAAAAAACCTTATACCGTGTTAACTACATCTCTTATTTACTATCAAATGATTTCGGCTATCACCCAAATGCTACTTTTGTTATGCTGATACTGATACTGTATGTATGTGTACTTATGTTTGACATTTGTGCTAATACTTATGTAGTTATTGATACTGACATAGATATCTATCCATAAAAAAAGGCGCTGCATGTCTAAAGTCCATACGCGTATTATGCAACCTGAATAGGGCTGCCGAGTTTACAAAATAAACTTGAAAATCAGATGCATAGCATTTCAAAGTCATCGCCAAATAGGGACCGCTTTGTGATTGCCAGTATTGAGGAGGTGTCTGCCGCTGTCTCGCACCATATGTAACACCAGTGTAGTTTACTAAATAGCATTTACAGAAAAATATCTACAGTTTTTTCCTCTTTTTCGGCATGGCAGGAAATCGATAAAACTAATTACTTACACACAATTGAAAATGCGGAGCACATAATCAAAGTAATCAACGGCCTGCAGCAGCAGTCGGAGATATGGATGTACTCGTTTAATACTCATGTACTACACAGATCAATGTCGTAGTTGCCCAGCAGCCATCAGTGAAAAAAATATAAAAAATTGTCAATTGAGTAAGCGATTTGTACGTATGACTTATTTAAAAAAAAAAAAACATAGCTGTAATGGACTAATACGGTTAGCTGATTGACTGTTCTACCTTGTGTTTACCGTCAAGGGGTTTAAACCCACTGTACTCTTCGCCATTTAAAGAGTGCTATGAACCCCACGTATATACTACTCGTAAATGTTACATAGACATGGAATTGTTATGTATACATACATATATGTATATATGTATATTTATTTTATTTGAACTGCAAATGGTACTATCTGCCGGTCTCCAACGCCCATTACTTAGATGCTAGTCAATTACTAAATGTATGTATGTATGTATGTATGTATGTATGTATGTTTGTTTATTAGAGTAAAATTTCGCTTGCCTCTGCACTTCATCCAATCATTTGTCCCTGAGGATCCACACTCTGCTCGTTCGTAAGCTGCAGCCTTCAAAGTTCGATATGTTCGTGTGTGACAGGTGCCGTTGGGGGTTGCAAACAATTTATACGAGTACATATCAGTTCAGGGGTGGCTAGCTGGCAACTCCTCTATTTTCAAATTACAGTTTAGGTCTAGAGGTCTGCGGTCTGCGGTGGTTTTGTGGGGTGGCTTCATCCTAACGAAGCACACATACATATGTACATATGGAATTCTACTAGGAAACCATTTTTGCAATCAAATATGTATGTATGTACATACATAAAAAAAGGTCGCGGAAGCTCAACGCTAATAGTGGCAAACTTGAACTCATAAGCGAGCATATAAAAAAAATAAGCAAGCTAAGAAGCGTACACACTGAAAAAGTGCTACTAGAATATATGCATTTTAATTCAAGTAGTTCACATAATATGTATGTATTTATGTGTATGAGTGTGTTTTATGCCAATTGTTGGCTGTGTCAGCCAAGACCGCAGCCAAGTAAATGTACTCTATATTACTCTACTTCTTAATTACTGAGTTAATTACACAATTGCTTTTCTTTACTTTTTTCCTATGGTTTTTATGTCACTTCATTTTTCTTTCTTCTGCCAATTGTAACGACTTTGTGCGATTGTGCTACGAATGCTAGTTAAATATTAAATCTTGGTTATGTTGTCGAGATGAGCTTTTTGCCTTCGACAAAGTCGTTCGTCGGTGCTTTTTTACGCTCTTCTAAGTTTTAACATTATAGAAATAAATACATACATATTTTGCACATATGAAAGTTGCATAAGCAGCTACCCGGTGTAAATATGCAATTATTATCTATTAAAAAAGTGTGGGACAGGCTGAGGCGAAAGTGACATAAGTAAACTGTCTTTGATGTGCGTGGCTTCATAATACGTGATTAGAGTTCAAGGACCTTTGCATGAAATTGTTACTAAAGATATATTAAGAAAATTTTTAAATGACTATGAGTTGCCACTGGTAACTACTTTGTACATTTAAATAATAGCTCTGAGAGTGAGATTGATTTCGTGAGCCTTGGCTGGGATTTAAAAATTGAGATAAAGTGTTGTTACTTAACTCACAAAAGTCTTCAAAGGCTCAAAGTTTTTAAAGGACCTACTGCTCAGGTTTCGGTGCTTTAAAGTAGAAGTCGGATAGATCGTTTTTTTGTTGCTATTTTTGGCCTAGTAACAACTATGCATATTCAAACAATTTTATTGAGATGATTTGATGTTTTATTTTGGAACGAGTATCCGTCATCCCTTGCCTTCAGTGTTATTTTTGCGTGGTTTGGTGCGAGTTTTTAACCTTAATTTATGTTTATTTAACTAAAGATATGATTGTCTTTTGCTTATTTGCGTTCGTTATGTTTTTGTTGCTTTGTTTTACTAGCACCTTTACCTTTTTGTCCTAATGGTGCTATTTGACTTGTTTGGAATGTCCATGTCTATTCTTTGGTTCTTATTTTTCTTTTCGTCAATTAATTTTAGTGGTTCGAATATAACGTCCGATGCGGTATTCGTTTGTTTCGCTTATTATTTTCCCCTCAAAGGTTTTAAGTTTGTTTATTTCCATAGGTTGGCCTTTATGTTTACATGCAGTTGCGTCGCTGCCTTTCTTATTTGCGTTCT